GTTACGATGTGCCGGTCAAGGCGCAGAACAAAGTTTGGGTCTTTGATGATGACCTCACACCCGTAACTGACAGAAAATCCTGATCTGATAAGAAAAAAATTGTGGGTCGTGTCGTTTTAGACACACAGAAGACAGTGACAGCTAAGTGGTACACGGAACAGTGCCCTCCAAAAACGGGAAATCCCACCCAGAACTGCTGTCGCACCGGTTTAGTGTTATGCAATTTTCGACTTAAATGTTGCAACTGATCTGAAACGGGAGAAATACTACTTCAACGACTAAAGGAAACCGTGTTGTTTGTCCTGTGACAAAGTAATATAAGACACGACAGTTTGGTCACGTAATAGGTCACCTTTTTACAGTCCGACCCTCTATGGAAGTTAACATTTAGGTTTTGACATCCAGCTAATTTCGCGTGAAATGAAAAACAGTTACGACTGTTACATCCGAACTTTAAAATTCATCGTGCGATTTATGTGTCGCAGTTCTCGGTATTCTCGTACACAGAAGGTAGGCGCTTCCAGATTTCCCTTCAAGTGACCGACACCATTGCTGATTCTTATTTCGGACACGTACCGCAACTGATGGGATATTTATGTACACCTCCAACACCGTAAGGGGGTATGATTATTATCGATTAATTATTTATTTGTTAGTTCCATTTCCGCTCGCTCGCGATGATGATTTCCTTCTTGGAAAAGCGGATGATCACACGCGCCTGTCGGGACGATACAAGGTCGACGGATTCCTACTTACTTATTACAATATGAAGAGGCATTCCCAAGGTAATAAGCACCCATGATAATATAATTTGAGAAGATATAATAATAAATTCGTCTTTATTAAGTACATGTAAGTACATACAGATCTCACACTAGTGGCGAAGCTTAGCCGTGGACTATTCTTCACTTAACCACTCCAAAAAATACGAGCCCCTTCTCACTTCAGTTGGCCCACTTCAAGATTTGTACCAAAATATGCCTTTATAAACTAAACATGACGAAACTATTTACTTTTAAAACAACTTATTTCTCAAACACATTTTAAATACACTCTAGTCGTAAAAAATAGTACATATTTGAAATCACTTAGACCTATAACTAATAGAACATCTGAACAAATAAACAATGTACGAATAAATGCGCGAAGTTAACAAAGCAACAATTGAAAGATTACCATTGGGTAACATCACCTTTATTTTTTATTACGGCTGCAATTCTTTGGGGCATAGTGTTAACCAAGTTTTGGCAAAAATTTGGTGTAAAACAATCCCATATTTCTCGAAGCTTTTGTATCAGTTCGGTGATTGTACGAGCAGGATGTTGTCGTAGAACCTTTTTCATCTCATGCCACAAAGTTTCAATAGGTGACAGATCTGGACTGCTAGAAACCCATTTCAAAAGTGGTACATTATTTTCATCCATCCATTTTATAGCCTGTTTTGAGGTATGGCACGCTGCACCATCTTGCTGAAACACAAAATCTTGGCCGGATGTCAAACATTCTTCCATCACTGGTAAAAGCGATTCTTCTAAAATTACCAAATATTTGTTTGTATCCACATTTCCATCAATAAAATGAAGTTTTCCTACTCCTTTTGATGACATACTGCCCCAGACCATAATGGATGCTGGAAATTTCGCTTTTCTCTTAAGACAGTCAACATGGAATGCTTCATTTTTTTCCGAATAACTCTACTGTGACTGTCACCAACACAAACTTCGAATCGGGCCTCATCACTCCATTGTATTGCACACCATTGTTGAGGTACCGATTTTTCTTTTGCAGAGGAGTTAATAGTGGCTTTTCTTTGTCCTATAAACAAGTTGTGCAACTTTAGGGTTTTTACTTCACTGTTTTTATAAGAAAACTTACCTTGCAAGTGCTAAATCTCAGTTTGTGGGCCTCTCTATGAGTTGTGGACCTCGAAATTCTCCTTCCAACAGCGTCACTCCACAAAGCACTTAATTGTAAATAATTGGCACGCCTGTTTTTCACGATTATTCTTCTTAATGCTCTTCGGTCGGCATTTGTGATATTAATTTTTTTCACATATCGTGGCTTAATATTAACTAAACACCAGTTACGTTATATCTTCTAACAATATTTGTCACACTGTACCGCGATAAGTCTAATAAAGTTGCAATTTCTGAGTTTGATTTCCCAGAATTAAAAAATTTAATTATCAGTAACCGAATTTTCTCACTAATAACCTTTCCTCTACCCATTTTGAAAACCATAACTACCCAAAACTATTTTAAACGTATTCTGACAGCTGTGATTAATAAAAGCAATTATCATGGCTTTTATTTTTCACAGCCACCTATGCGTTATAGACTTATTTTGCATTGAAATGAAAATAGGTTGATATGCTGTAATTGCAACATGTGTTATTTTTATGCTGCAAATTTGATTAGGGAGTGATAAAGTTGGTGTTTTATACTATATATTATCAAAATATTCATTGTTAACATTTTAAACATATAACACCTTGCTACATTTTTATTGTGTTTAACAAGAAAAAACTAAGATTTCAATTGTTGGGCCTACTGAAGTGGGAAGGGGTTCGTAGCTTTTCTCTATGGATATAATCTGTGGATGAAAGTGAGATAATTAATCCTCACTAAATAGGGCATTTAGAACCAGTGCAATTAAGTAAACTTACTTGAGACATAATCAAAACGTCTTAGACCAAAGATAAGTCTTATGGAACTGTTCTGAACAACCTGCAGTAGGTATGAAATGGTATTACAAGTTACTCGCAGGATTTTTTCCTTAATTTGAAGTTAAGGATCCACTTGTTAGCATATAAAACATGGAGTCGCAGGTATGATTTCTTTAACTTTTTACGTGATCTGTGAACCTAAGCCTCTGGTCGGTAGTAACTCCTAATGTTTTTGTACACGGAGAGCAATTTATTTTTATTTACCGATAACAATCATACAACGGCCTCCCTTCTAGGCTCATGGCAAAAAACATTACATTTTACTTTCATGCCTTTCAATAGAGTTTAAATTAGTTTGAGCATCCTGGATATTTTCTCAAAGTAGTGAAGGAGCTGGGTATCACCGGCAAAGGATTGTCTGAGTTGTTGACATTTCTTGGCAAGTCAGCATTATACAAAAGTGAAAGTAGGGGCCTATGCACCGATCCTCAGGGTACACCAGACGTAATTTAAAATTTGATGTTTTGGATATGTTTAAAGAAATATTGAGAATGATCCCAAGGTAACTTCTGAAAAAATTATTTATTCACTTCTTGATTGAAGCCATAGTACCTTAGCTTGGCAAGCAACAAATTATGGTTGATTTTATCTGAGCCAGCGTTTTGTCTAAAGCTCTGAAGATATTATCTCAAATGTTTAATAAAAAGGTAGTGCTGTGATGGTTTTCGAAACCTAATTGGTTTGCCGGCAATAGATTGTTTTCCCCGACATATTCCAAAACTAGTGACTGAACCGCTTTTTCCAAAATAATTGACCACAGGCTATTAGATTGCAAGTCAGAAAAGTCATCTAGATTGTTAATTTTAGGTACCGGAGCTACTATGACTTTTCTCCACGCTCCGGAAAAGTGCTCGCGCTCTCAACGCAGCAGACTCTTCGCGATCGAATTTCCTACTCTTTGCGGATGGCGTCACTCGGTGGCAAATGTTCCTCTCGTCGGTATAAAATACATTATATTAGAGCGTTCACTTTTGTGTTGTCGATGTTATATGATAATTTTGGTATTATATAGATTGTTTTATTTATATTTGGGTGGTTATCTGAAATTTGGTTAACTTGGTGTTAGCATGAATTTTCACAATATTAAAAAATATATATCCTATATCTGAAACTACTAAGCGATATTTTATAGTCTATTTAGTTCGGTCACCAATTTTGATATATATCATAATATTCTTTATTTCAATAAATTGACATTTTTTACTCCAAATATCAGGCCCTAGCCATGTAAGATCTCCCAAATTTAGTATTCACGTCACTGTAATCTTATTGTATTAAATAATAATTTGATGAAACTCTATTTAAATTTTTTTACTATTACATTGCTTACATTGTCATTACGATTTAATGTATAAAATAATTTTGTTTGATCACATTATTTCAAGTCAAAAAGTGTAAGCGATTAAAAATATCAGGCCCTAGTCATTTACGAAATTCAAAAATATGCGGCATCCAAACATATGACTTATTCATAAATCACCAATACGGTAGCATCGGTGTGTAGTTGGTTGCAAACACGAGCCAAGCCGCGGCAGCAATTTTGCTATTAGTGTGGTAACCGACTTTGCTGCGGAAACACGTGCTGTGCCAGTCAAACTCTCAGGCCCTAGGTGAGTCGTTTTAAACATATATAATTACTCATTGATCTCATTACTTATTGAATGTATGAGCTAGGTCTGCTTTGTTATTTTGACCGCCTATTGATTTTATAGTGATTTAAAATAATAGCTTTCATTTGATTTTGGTTCGTTTCGTCATTCCCTAGACCGTCAGGCCCTAGTCGTAATAGTGACTAGGGCCTGATGCCACATCTAGGGACTGATGATCATACTGTGTGATGCATAGTTTTAATCATAATACCAATGTATTTGTTGTAGAATATGGCGCCTATAAAGAAAAAAACATTGTCTAAAGAGGAAATTGCAAAAAAAAAGTCTGAACAGGCAAAGAGACGATTGGAAAATATTAAAAATGATACTGTTTTGCTGGCGGAGTACAGACAAGGAACGACTAAAATATCTAAAGAAAAAGGAAAAGGACAACGGAAGTGTGTAAAAGACATGACTCCCCGTGAGCACAGAAAGGCAAGAAAAAATTGGGTAGCCTATTCATCTGATTATAGAAAAAAACAAAAGATTCGTGACAATACAGATAAATACGTGGACCAAAATACGCCGTCTTCATCGGAAGATGAAATTATTCTCCTTTATTAAATAATGAAAGAGAAGCTGAAGCTAGAAGGAGGAGTATAGTTCAACGGAGAAAAAGAAATAGTATGTTGAAGAGGAAGGACTTACTCATTGAAAATTTAAAGAAGAAACTTGCCAGCGAACAACAAAGAAACAGAAGACTGAAACATAGAATGATACAAAAGAAGCAAGCACTGACACCAGAAAGTAAAATTGTAGAAATAGCCAACGTCCCTAATCAAAAAGCAGAATTGATAAAAAAAGCGTTATTTGGCGATATTATTCAAAGGCAAATTTTAGATAAAGAGATTCAGACACCCAAAACAAAAACCTGCTTAAAAACGATTTTGTCAAGTCCACTGACACATAAATATAAAATATGGAGACTTGGAAACACAGCCATTACATATAAAAAGGGGATTTAATCGTACAAAATATGAAGATATGCGAAAAAAAAAGAGAGTTCAAGAAATCATACACAAGTTTTATGAAGATGACAATAATAGTCGTTGTGCGGCAGGAAAAAAAGAGTGCATCACTCGCAAAAAAATTAAAAAACAAAAAAGACATTTGCTGGATTCCTTGAAGAACTTGCATCAAAAATTTCACAATACGAGTTTGATGAAAATTGGGTATAATTATTTTTGCAAATTGCGTCCATTTTGGGTTGTTGTGTCTAAGCTTACAGACCGTGATACCTGTGCTTGTGTTATTCATGAAAACATCAATTTGAAGTTAGGTGCCTTAAAAAATGCAAACGTTCTTGACTTTGCCACATATCAAACTGCACTGGAAACAATTTGCCGTGATCGTTACTCGGAAAAATGCTTAGCGAGAACTTGCCAGGACTGCTCATTGAAAATTTTACCATATAAGGAGTTTGATAATAGTAAGGACATGGCAGTCAAACAATGGAAGCATAGCAAGGAATTGATTAAGGACATTAAAACTAAACAGGATAGATACGTCACAAAGTATAAGAAAGAGATATGCAATTCAAAACCTCGTGATTTAGTTATGCAATTAGAAGAGAGTGATCTTCCAAAATTATTCCAACATGAACAGAACATCGTTCATCAATATAAAACTATTAAATCTTTGAAAGAGTCACTTACAGAAAAGGATGCAGTAATTCACATGGACTTCTCAGAAAACTACACAACTAAATGCAACCAAGAAATTCAGTCGTATCATTTTGGCGGCACCAGCACTCAAATTTCTTTGCATACAGTGGTGGTTTACACAAAGGATAAAGTAACATCCCATTGCACTGTGTCTTTAAATTTATCTCACAACGCTGGAGCCATTTGGGCACATTTACAGCCTATCCTCTTAGGATTGCCATCCTCTGTAGAAAACCTGCATTTTTTGAGTGACGGTCCTGTAACCCAATATAGAAATAAAACAATGTTTTATATTTTGGGTTGCAGAATCCGAGATTTCTATCCACTGGCTATAAAATATACGTGGAATTTTCCATGAGGCGGGACATGGGAAAGAGAGGTGACATTACGAACTTGTACGACTTTGTAGCTGTGCTTCGAGAAAGGTGTCCAAATATAAATATCTCTGTTATCGAAGATGTCGATATAGAAAAAGTTAACAAAAAGATCAAGGAACATGAGAAGAGCAGAAACCGTTTAAAGGAACTCTCTTGGTGCATCAAGTCTCGGGTCATATTTATAACCCTAATAAACTTGTCTTGAAGTCACTAAGTTGCTTCTGTGATAATGACGGTTGTGACCATTATAGGTTTGGGACTATTACGTACCAAACCAATACACAGCGGCTTCAAGTTTCAGATATTTTCACAGATTCTGAAGATGATATGCCGTTAGCAAGTATGAGCCACATTGCACAAGAAAAGTCAAAAACGAGCTACGGCGGTGGCGATTATGTTAAGTAAATAATGAGGGGAAAAGAATACCGATACGCCGCAGTTTTCTCAAAATATGATGACGAAGATGGAGAACTGACAGTTACATTTCTTAAAGTTTGCAATAAAGATGGAACAGAATTTAAAATAAATGATAATGATATCGCCGACGTACCTTACGAAGACGTTATAGAAAAACTGCCAGTTCCTAATATAATCGTCAAGAGAAATACAGTCCTTCACAAATTTAAAAAACCCATTAATGTTTACGAGAAGTAAAACAAATAGTGAAACAAATAAATAAGAGGTACTAGATAGTTTAAGTGCGAAATATTTGTGATCTCATAATAATTAATGAAAGTCTGAATGTTGTGTTCAACTTATAATTTGGTAACTCAAAACTTTAGAATGCTGATTATTTAAAATAATTGTTAATTTTTAAAGTACTATTAGTTTGTAAGTATTAAACCCAAAGTATAATTTGATTGTTGAGAAATATTGATAGATTATTGTGTATAATTAAAAAAATAAATCCTGTACTGTGATTATAAATCATAGAATTTGTGAACTTGATATTATTTTGTTGTTACGGTTGATTTTGCAATAAAAAATGTGATTTGACATAATAACCGTGTTTGGTGTCAGTCCCTATCACTTGTCGTCAGTCCCTAGAGATTTTAAAAAATCATAAATTTCTCTGAAAATATCAAGTAAAGTGACTGGCCCTTTTAGATGCAGCAAAGTAGATGTTATACGTACAGCATAGAATATAAGCTGTTCTGATTTTTAACTAAAAACACCACCCTCAAAATTACATCAGAAGTTAACCAAATTTCAGATAACCACCCATTTAGATGTTTTTCCATTATAATGTAATGACTTAATCATTGAAAATGTGCTTGTATATTTACAAACTAAAATTTCTTTACACCTCCGAATAAAGGGACTCACTTCTTTATTGAAGCAAATTGTTTTCGAATAATACCTTTCTGCATCAGTGGCATATATTAATTTGTTATATCCACTTTTTAAAAGAATGGAGACTAAGATACAGTACATACATATGTCATTTTGTATTGCAAACAGTTTCATTCGGTTTATTTTACAATTTCCATCATTTCCTCTTCCCAATTCTGGATTTTTCTTTTATATTCTATTTAACGGCCGGATTTTAAAATACATTTTTCATCAAAAAAAAAAAGATGCTTGGAATCTGCACTTACACTCACTGACGTGAATTCAATAATCCTGCGTTGAAATTGTCGAAAATATGGTCGAGTTCATTACATTAGTAATTACTGATACGTACCGTCTGCTTATCTATCCGTGCTGGCTTTAAAACTTAACATTTAGAGCAAATTCTATCTAATTCTTTCTAGTTTCTAAACCCTAGTCTGCTTGTGTTTTTACTTCCTAAGCTACTGGCGAGGAAGTATTGTAATCGCGAAAAATTTCGAAAATGAGGTAACTGTCTTTTGAATGTTATGTGACACGTATCACGAAAAAACATGTTAGTCATGTTCTGTCTGTTTGTATGTTTGTCCGCTAATCTTTTAATCTTTGTCGGTCTCTCTGTTTCTTTTGGTCTGTCCGGTAATCCATCGCTTTTATGTAACTTGGATGAACATTTTCACACAAGGTTAGTACTATACCAGCTTTATAATTTTTGAAAATCGGTCCAGTTACGGGGCAAAAATATGGAAAAAATAAAATTTGCTCAAAAGTCCTGATCATTTTCAGAAGATTTTTTAGAGGGATTGAAAATCGGAGCTTGGGGCCGTAGGGGGAGGGGGTAGAGTGAACAACTCAATTTTTGATGTTATTATAGTTATTACGCTTTTAACCCCGATAATTCCCCGCACCTATTATGTGTATTTCATACATCATAGATTTCCCCGTACATTTTCCCTTAAAACTTAGAATGATATAGTAATGTTTCCGATATATCTCGGCTTCTGGTCTCTGGGTTCACCGCTGGGCGTACCAATCTCGTTGAGTGTCCTGTCATTACTGAAGCGGTGCCGTGCAGCGTTTCCAGATTCACCACAAAAACGTACCAGCACGTCGAAGTTATCGTACAATCGTACAGTGCCGTAGGTCCAAGAATGTATGTTTAGGCAGGTGATTTCCGTCTCGAGGGGAAAGGGGTTGCGTGGGTTCTGATGCCTGTGTAGTATATGGATGTCAGTTAAAGAGGGGAGGGGGGCTGCAGGCGTAACAGGCGGTGACGTAGTGGTAGATGTTATGGGTGTACTAATCAGTAGCCGTGCACTACGCGGGTTGGAATCCCGTCCCAAGACAATGTTTCTCTTGGCTATGATGTTGTGATTGACCGTAAGTGGTAGACGGTCTCTGACTGGGGTATGTTGCATGTTGCATGCACACGTGTTCCCTCGCTAGAGTCCGTGTGACGTCCCCCACTCTCCCCTGTATTCCCCTATAGCCTTACGGTACCCATGGGTGTTTAGGCTTTCATGGAGGTTGGAGTATAAAAAATTACAGTTCTGCATCTGGGAGTAAAAATCTTGCGTCGTGCGGTCAGGTATAGGGAAGGGGCGATGTTGCCAGATGGACGGTACTACCGGTAGGGCAGGGAAATAATGTCTCCCAACTAGCATAGTAGTGTTATAAGCTTTTGGTAAAAGAACCGTTCAGCCGTAAAAGCTCTCTATTGTTGTTGCCTGAACACCAAAATGCTGGCTTAATGTTGTGTAGAATGCAAATTTGCTTTCTGCAACATATTTGCTCTAAAATGAGGTGTTTAAAATATTCTTAGAGCATAGTTACACAACACCTTATAGGGCAAATTTTTAAATGTTGCATAAACGTTTATACAACTATTTTATACGGCATATTTGCAGGTTAGTCAAAATGGTTATGTTGTGGCATCCATGGTAACGTTTATAAAGCAAATCCGAGCCTTGTTGTTTTGCTGTGCAAATTTACTACTTTAGCCAACAAATTGCTCCCAACGGAAGCACTTATACAACTGTTGTTTAGTAACTGTTAAAGGCTGTACATATGCTAAATATGTTGGTATACAACTTCACCATAACCTAACTTTCTGCTGTCATATTTTTGTTAACATGCCATAACCAATGTTTTAAGACAAACAACGCATGCATATTGGTTAAAAAGGTTTTATCAACTGTTCAAACAGAAGATAATATAAATCTAGTACAAATTCTAAGTAAATCATTCGACTCTGTCAGTATTTTATTTTTGACATTTGTCAAATTGTTGTATAACATCTGCAGGCAACACCAAAATATTCTAATAAACTAAAGACAACATGGATGATGACATGATTATACACAATCACCCGCCATATTGGGCAAACATTTATTCCTCTATTTGATATTAAATAATTATGTTTCAGTTCGAAATTACAGATATAAAGTGATAAACATTAGTGTAATTGTGTCTAAATATAGGATTTGTGGAAGATTTAACGCCTATAAGTTCAGTTTTCCATCCTAAAAATCTAGACATACTTTTGATCATTATCAAAATAAGAATTAAATACGAAGCCCGTAGAAATTGCGTAACTACTTTGCACGATAATCACAATGAAATTTGCTGCGCAAGTAATTCAATAGCCATATATCACAGTGTAGAAGTTTATCATATACCTGTGTATGAAATTCACAATGGCCGATATGTAAGTAAACAAGATGACTGTATTGTGTATTCTTCACTTCGTCTATACAGTACATAAGAAATAGTTTGGTTGCAATAAAGTGGAATCACGTAACAGAATAGTTGTATAGTTGACTAAAACTGAATCTTGCACTGACGCAAATGTCCTATAGCGGCTGCAAGAGGCTTACACTTTTGTTGTATAACTGTTACCTGCAGCCCTTATACAACCTCTTAAATGACTGAAGTGTCCTATTAGGTGTGCCCATTCCGCTTGTATAGCTGTTCTAAGAGGGTTTTGCCAATGTTCTTACAGTATACAATGCTGTGTAAGGAATACTGTATAATCATTCTTGCAACTCTAATAGGAGTGATAATTGTTAGTTGGGTATGGACTAATTGTAGGGGCCTGTTTGACTGACTTGGTTTGTTTAATTTCTCTGTTGTACATGTGCGCAACTAACTTTTTTCGCAGAGGGTCTAACTTGTACTATCTTCTGTGAACTGATGCCGGCGTTGCGTGGTGGGTGCAGTGTTAACCTGCTTGACGCCATTTTTTATACCAAAGCAACCGCGTAGACATAAGCCTAAATACCGGGACACCACGTCTGCTATAAGCAACTGTGCGTTACTAAAAAAAAACTAATATTTCACAAAAAATTGACATAAACTGGATCCGAAGCAGAGGTCTATTTACGAGTATAAAATGTTATGGGATCTGGCCTTAAAAGTGGCCTAGAGCTTTTGGCGAACACTATACATCTATGGTACCACTCACGCAAAGACCATTCGTCGTCTTCGAGTATACATTATAATGCCAACCACACATACCGCATAAAATATAATTCGAATGATTTATATATAGTGGGATGGCGGTTTTTGAAAGTCCCCGGCTGCTATAGCACCCACACGCCCAGCAGAATTGTCGTCGACAATTCGAAAATAAAAGCGAACAAATCGTATATCAAAAAAGGCGTTTCCGCAGGTTTCACTTTTCCATTTTCGCTCGGTTTGTCAATGAACCAAATGCAACTCGTATCAAGGTGAAAAGAACATTGTATATGTTGCTATAAATCCATGGTTCGCTTTGTGGGTTGAGTTGTAAAATTGACAATTTTAGAAATCATAAATTAAGAATGACTCTCACCGAATCATCGAGAATACATCGATCAAGACATCGCACCGTTCAAA